CTTTGGCAGATATCCCAAAACCGGCATTGGTTAAAAAAAACTATTGCTAACACTCACTAAAGAAATAAATGTAGCCAATATCCTAAAACAAAAGATAACATTTCCTTTCTGGATCCATTACAGATAACTACCCTATTATCTAAATTTGTGGCAACCAAAATACACAACTGTGACAAACGCTTTCATAAAATCTAACACACGCTGACTTCAGAGCTTGATTATTTCACGCATAAAATAAACTTAAATTAATCTGTGGTTAAGTCACTAATGCAATACCTTAATATAGAGAAGCCTTTTACCTTCAGTGATGACGGAAAATTTGGAAATCAAGGATGTGCTTGAAATTGCTAGATTTTTAAAAAATGATGTCCTGTTATCCTAAAACCATCACCAATAAAACCTTTTTTCCAGTACAGTTTAGATGTGAATGTAAAATATAACTGATGAAGATTGAAAGTCATGACTATTTTACTGTCCATTTTACTGTCCATTTTACTGATTGGAAATATTTTTCATACTGACAAAAATAGGGCAGAAAATTGACAAAGGCGACAGTTTTGTGAAGTGCCAAAGATCTATAAAAAAATATGAATTATAACAAACAATTTCTCCAAGGATGACACCTGATATGAGGGCAAGTGAAAATTTGATCTTTACCAAAAACACTGTTCAACATCAATACATGGAAGAACAACACAGCTTATCTTTAGGTGTAGCACCGCTCATCTTCAGATTAGGGCATTTTCTTTGTATACAATACAATATAAAATTATATTTGTATAGCGCCTTTCATGTCAGGATATCCCAAGGAGCTGGACAGTCAGGAATTTGGAACCGAGGAGGGTGGAGAGCAGGGAGGGTAGGAGGATGGCCGAAGGCTCGGTCGAAGAGGGGGGTTTTGAGACGTGCCTTGAAGGAGGCAAGGAAGGGAGCGAGGCAAAGGGAATGTGGGATGAAGTTCTATGGAGTTCCAGAGGGTGGGAGCAGAAAGGCTGAAGGCCTGACATCCAATGATGGGCCAAGCAAGATGGAGCAGGCCAGTGCCCAATGAATGGAGGGAGCTCAGTGGGCACTAACTAATGAAAGCGTTATAGAGCAGTGATGCTGTTTTTAATCTCAGTATAGGCTATCTACTCATCTTTAGGTATGCAGGAAAAGAAGTTACTCAAATAACCTCATTCTATCACATGTATTCTTTTGCTCAGCCATCTCGGTTACAGTAAAAAAAAATTCCAGCTGCTGAAGCCTAGAACCTGTGTAAATCACATTTAAGGCATAATTTCTGGGTAAAAAAAACAAGCACTGAAAGTTGGGCATGTTGCTCCGAGTAGCAGCAATAAATCCTTAAACTCAGAAGTGAGTTAAAACATACTACAAGGGCAAAGACTGGGTGAAGGAAGCACTTTTAGTAAATGAAAGCGGGTTTCAGGATGTACATGAGATTCACCTAAAAGAACTGATGAAGCCATCTGGAGACGTTAGTGTATAATGCACGAAAATGACATGGTTCCACCTCAGAAGTTGCAAAAGGGACAGATATCCTTAGAATTGCTCTTCATTCAACAGGTGCTGCAAATTACATATGCAAAATACATTCTCAAATGAAGATTATAAAGGGAAGAAAAGACCATTGTAGCTATGGAAGAAAAGACCATTGCAGCTGTGTTGCATGGATTCAACAGGAAATTATACTGCATTCAAATTGTCTATATTCCAAAGCTCATCTGCAACTAGACTGCAATTGTTATCGGGTTGCTCTAAAAAGCATTGAATGATACAAAAGGCACTCTGCACTTAAGCCATGAATTGTTGAATGAAGCTTTTTCAAACACATTGTGTATACAATTAGGTAGCATTCTATACCCACCGAACATGCTTTTTATTTTCACTGGTTTGAAACAAGGTCGACAGAAAAAGGAGAAAACCACATATTGTGGATTGTTATAACAGATCCATCAAGAGCTTGCTAAGAACACAGTTTACAAGTACTGAGGTGTAATTGTGTACAGTGTGAGATACCAGAACTGAAACACACTCATGCAACTCTAAGGATCTATCAAACAGATTTTAAATTAAATTCAGCCCCACATACTGGTAACAACCATTAAAATGCTATCTGACACATCTGGAACAGCAGTTTTAATTTTCATACTGTATCAGTCCTGGGGCAGTAAAACTACCAGTTGCACCCATAAAATAAATTATTTGATACACAGATATTGCAACGCAGCTGAGTAACATGTTGTTATTCTGCTCTAGTTGACTAACATCTGTTAAATAAAATTCTATGATATTAAAAACTGCTGCTGCAACAGATTACATAAAGTAATTTTTAAATACTAATCCCAAGAAATTCAAAATGTGACATTTTGATTAAGGAGTAATCACACTTACATTTCAAACCAGCAGTATCATCATCTCATTACATGTTACATATAGGATTTAAAGTCATCAGCTTCCTTAGTCAGAATAATTAAACGCTATAAATTCTCAACCAAAAAGCATTCGACAGGAAGCCTCAATATAATTTTAACAAATAAGATTTACTAAATATTCCAAATAAAACCATCCATAGCAACCAATTAGCAATTGAACATCTATCATCGTCTACATCTGTCAAGCTATTTATTTCCTGTATTAACCAAGCATTAAAGTATTCTCAAAGTTTCACAAGACTTTGACAAAGGTAGTCTACTCTGAGGAGATATTTTCAAAGATGATTGCTGCCCTAAATACACTCTTACATGAGTTACAACTTTTCATCAATGTTATTTAGAAGTATTGTGATGAATGAATCTCACCTCCATATCCCCACAGTAGTACCAATATGTCAAATCAGTTTCAGAGTGAGCTATCGTATAATTTAAATTACCATAGTTATTTCGCTCTGAAACCAACAATTTTTTCAGAAACCATTATAGCGGAGCCCGAGTGAATGCTGGAAATGAGACATGGAAGGCATGGACATTTTAAAGTCACACGTGCCAATAATAAATCAACAGGAACACAAGCCTCATTAGGATACATGACCAAAATACATTCCACATCGTTAACACATGTAAATCAACAGTATTGCTAATCTCCACATCAATTGTATAGTCTTTTGCAGTCACATAAACCAAAAATCTTGTGTTATTAATAATGCTATTTTTGTCAGCACTGTTACTGTTTCAAAAGTTATAACTGTTTTCTTCAGAACATCACCCCTCACAATCAAGCAGTCAATGCAACATCACAATTATGTCTAAAGGCAGGTTTTATTCCCCTACAAATTATTTTATGGAAAGGTCTTCAATCAACGTTACACTAAAAGTCTTTCAATTGATTTGGACTATGAAATGTCTTGACAAAATCTATTAAAACTGGATATAAGTTCTGCAAAATGCAGAGAATTAAGAAATCTCTAAATGATATTTCTTGCATATCACACCTTATCATCATCTCATTACATCTTACATATAGGATTTAAGGTCATTACAATACTTCTAAATACACGAGATGCCTCAAAGAGTTTCACAGAATTTTACTGTGAAATGTTCTGCCTGTGTATTTGTCGGTGAACGCTGCAGCAAATTTCCACACACAGATGTCCCACAAAGAGCCATGAAGTGAGTGACTAATTTTATTTGGGGGGATTGTTGGCCAGGACACCAGGAGAAATTCTCTTCTCGTGTCAGCTTAGTAACTACTTTTTATATTAAGTAAATTGCCACTGATTTCCACATACCAAAGCAGTTACGAAAATAGATTCTCTAGGTTTGGCTTTTCTAGAGTGTCACACAAAGTGTGATAACGACAGAGGTATGTTGTCACTAAGGAATTTTACTCCTGCTTATTTGTTAGTGTGACAGCAGTAAGCAAATTGCATTACTATAGATTGATTACCTAGTTTCTTTCACAGATGAGAAAAAAATACACAGAAACAAAATGCAACTTATCTTTGGGCCAAATCACTGATGGTAAAACTCCTTGAAAAAGGGTAAAATTGTAATAAGCGATGTGTAATTATTATTTGTGTACCAACTCAAATATTTTTCACTCAGAAATTCTCCCAAACCTCATTTGATTTTCTCCACTTCCTTTTATCATCTGAGAACACCTTATCTCATACAGTTTATCCTGTCAACACATTGTCTGCCTCAGCATGATTCACTTTGTATTTCTCCCTGGCTCAAATTTATTTTTCAACCTTGTTAAGTCTCTCTTACTCTTCAGTTTATACTTGCATTAATGTTCTCTCAAAAGAGCAAATACAATCTAAAAACTGGCTCACCTTTTCATAACATATCCTCTCCAAGGATAAAAATCTAAGATATTCTAGACAAATATGAATAAAATACATACACCATCATACTGTTGCAATAAAAACTGCAAATGCACTGTCCATCCTTTTAGGGATCCCACATTTTATCAGTTTTGAACTTGCATATTGATAAGAATATTTTAAAAATCTGAGTTGTTGATTTTACCTTTCTATCTCCTAATCTGTTGTGTTCTTTTCAATCATATATGTTTGCTTATTTCTCATACAAATCAATCAGCCTCTATCTCTTACAACTGATAGGCAAGGCTGTGAGATAAGGTGGTAAGCGTTCTGAGACGCTACCCCGAATGGAGGGCGCTATATAAAGGCAATTTATTGTTGTGGCTATACAAGCCTTTCTGTAATGTGAAGTTAGTTATTCTATTCAGAATTCTATTAGTTATTCTGAATTCTATTCAGTAAATATTCGGCACAAATTGAATGTTCCATTCATATTCTCATGGTAAAGAACCATCATATTTTAGAAAGCAGGAATTACAGAAAATATTATTAATGTCTCACAAATGGTTATTCTGACAATTCAATCTTTTTAACCTTTTATAACTAAAAATGCTACTTCACATTTTTACCTGAGGCATACCTTGATTAAACACTCTGCACTTAAACAAAATTCCTAGTGGCGCAATATACAAAGTCATTTTATATACTAACACTCCACAGCATGTCATATTCTTACCATCATTCACTTGGCTTCCTTCTCTCTTCAGCATTTGGACAGCTCCTACATATTTCTTCAACTGTACCTTCAATACTTCATTTTCTCTGCAGAAGCAAAAAAACAGTGTATTATTTATCAAACAACATGAATTCTAATTAAAGTGTAAGAGAAGGAGCAGCACAGGGATTAATGATTAAAACAATGCCTTTCAGTGCTTACAACTTTTACAAACTAATGTGAAGTACATACAAGCGCAAATTGTATTGTAATAATACTGTATCAAGCCAAACTATAGGCACAAATCAAACACAGGTCCCTGTCCCATCAATTATCTGTTACCCATGAAAATACAGGCAATACTCACTAACTCCACTCTGAATTACTATCCTGTGTGAAGGGTACACAAATACAAGTTGCTGTTGTTACTGTGCTTCCGTTTTTCTTAAAATTAAAACTATTTTAAATATTTTTGAATAAAAAGGCTTTAAGATTGTTATAATGCTTGAATGAAATTTTGCAAAAGACTTGAAAACAACAGATTATAGACCAGTCTATCATAAATAGCTCACAGTATAAGTGTTCCAAGCTTTTGGGATTAAACTCTGTATCGTATTAACATGCAAATGTCTCTACTAACACCTAATCATGTCAGTATTATAGGCCGGTTAACAGCATGAGCATCCTAATTAATGAAGGCTTGTGAATATCTGCAGTCACAAAATGCAAACAATAAGGAACCTTTCTGTGGCAATTGAGAGGGTAAATTAAGAAATAATCTACATAAAATGGGAAAAATATAGAATTGTAAAAAAAACGTTGGTATGGTATATTTTATTCAAGAACATTTTATTCTAGATCATGTTCAAGCAATTACAGGCCACAACTCAGCCAAGGGGAGAATTGAGTAGTGATGTTCCAAAGGTGGAAAATCCAGCCAACACACTTTCTGGACATAAACACGTAGAATGGCCTTGTGAAGAGAAAGTCCAACAGGGTCTAGATTTACTCTCTATGTGGTATTTTAGACAGTTCAGAATGTAGTCAATTCTTAAATACAGATTTAATTTTAAGATGATATTCCATGTGTTAAGAAGGACAGAAAAATGACTTCAAAGTTCAGACTGAATTCTAAATTTGCCAAATTCTAGATACTCTAAAGTGCTCACAAAAAAAAATAAGTTTAGACCTCGGTGGAATTTCGCCCTATTGGTTGTTTTGTATCTGTAAATTGTACCCCAGCAAGAGCAAAGAAATTTGAGAGAGAATTTTATAAACTATAATCAGTAAACTAACAATTCCTTTAAATCAGTAAAAAGAAATCACGGTTTTTCATTAAGCTGAGCGGGAGTTAAAAAAAACAGTGGCCCAATTCGAATTATTGCTAAAATATGCTTCATTGAAAATATAATGAAGGCAAATGTTTCCTAAGTCTGACCTTATTACCAATTCATTCAAATGGATACAGCCAATCCTGTCACATGGAAACAATAATTAAGGGCAATTTTTGTTCTTTTCAACCGGCTGCATTTAGCATGATTCCATATGTACGTTGTACACATAGGGGAAGGCAAAAATAATCAGATTAACAATGACAGACAACAAGAAGCAGGCTGACAGAATTTGGTTTAAAAGTATAGATTTTCTGGCAGATATCTTTTTGATTGCCCTCATAAAATACAGCAACACATGATGAGCAACTTTTGTTTCCCTTTTACTTTGCATACATCGTCTCCCTGGTTGGTTCCCTCGCCTACCTTCCTAGAGCTTGGATCTTGGCAGCATGTCGCTCTTCCTGCTCTGCCAGTTTCTTTTTCTGGTTGTCAATTTCTTGCCTCAGTGCTGCAGAATGTTCCATCTCTCCATCAAGTAGATTTCGCAGTGATCTAGAAAAGAGGGATAACCATCTGTTACCAGACCAAAAGAGAGCTGTCTGGTGCATCAAGTGCGAAGATTAAGAAATGGTTAATAAATGTAGCCTACCTCAAACACCATTTCCTTGATATGTAGTGCATTTTATTGCAAGATCAATTTTTTCACAATTTGGACAATAGGCAATGATTTTTTCAAACAAAATTCAAAAACATCTCGTTGAGAAGAGTAATTGCATTTCTTTCCATAAAATGCATGAAAACACAAATACAATTCTCAGTGTACTGATATAAAACAGACATTGATGCATCAAAAATTCACTAACACTTTGTCTGGAGAAATTAATACTATGTTTATTTATCCTGTATGTTTAGCGACAATTTTTTTAGCTCAACTTCAATGAACTGTCCTGGTGTCTTCTTGAGCAGGTTGTTTTCATAGTAGTGCATTGTCCATCTATTGCAATAAGAAGGTGAAAGGTGCAAATCACACTGGGGTCTTTGAGAAATCTTGTATGGTCCATTCAACAGCCCAGGAGAACATAGGTTTAAGAGTTGTAGAGAGCAATTTCATGACAAATACCAGGATATTTTTCTTTATCCAGAACCTTATCCAGTAATTAATGACTGGTAACAGGTTGCCAAGAAGGGTGGTTGAGATTGGACTCATTGAAAAAACAATTTAACGTTGTAATAAAAGAACAGTAGGGTGGGTTTTCTCGAATGATGAGATCAGATGGGAAGAAGGGCCTTCTTCATCCAAACTAATCTTGTGATCTTTTGACTTTGTGATCAGATCATCTCTTAAGTGACTACCAATTTTGTTATTGCACATTCCTTGCATACAAAAATAGCTGTTTTTTTCCCTCTGCTTCCAATACAATAATAATCGTTCCATTTGACATAGCGCTTTATCATGTCTTCAAGACATCTCAAAGCACTTCACAGAATATACTGTGAAGTGAATTGACTTTATATTTTGTGGGCAAAACGTCGCAGTCAATTGCACACAGCAGTGTCGCACAAACAGTCGTAGATTGAAGTGACCAATTTATTATTATTATTTGTTTGAAGGAATAACACACGGAAAAGCGATCCGCCAATCGAACTAACTGGGTTCCTACTTACTGCTAGGTAAACAGAGGCATGTGGTGTAAGGAAACTTGCCCTACATTTCGCCCTGCCAGGAACCGAATCCAGGTCTCTCGCTGCAGTAATATTATTATTATTACGTGCTCTAACCACTGAGCTGCAGGACTCCACATTGTGGAGTAAAAGCACAAATCACACTTCTTGCTCACCATCTCAGCTTCACTTTAAGCAGTATAAATATAGGATTAATGATACATCAATTGTATTTGGGAAAATTGCAAGTTTTTGAATACAAGCAGTTAAAGTGCCAGATAGGTGGAGAAACGTTCATTTGAATTCCACAAACTGCTTAACCTATATTATGTCACATTGTGTAGTTCTATAGTGCATCTTAATCTAAATTAAAAGGTTACTTTCCACCTACAGGTTTGACCTAATTTTAAATCCAGTCTCAATAAATAAAACTGTAAATATGTAATTTAAATCTGCTGCATTCCATAATAATTTCTGCCTTTTGCATCTTTTATGTATTGATACACAGGTGCCAAAGACACAGTGTGCTTATTTTAAATTTCAATTCTTTCTCCCCTGTGTGTAAACAATAATATGAATACCAGAGAAAAACAAAGACGAGGGCAGAATTAAATTGAAATTAGCATCCCAAGTCACTGTCAAAACAAATCAGATGTAAAGCTCACAGCACAAAGAGAAAGTTACCTTAAAGATAGCATTTTACAACATTTCAATATATTACACAGATTTACAAAATGGGGACTACGCAATCTAAGGTAATGGCAGTAGAAAAAAATGCCAAAATATGCCTAAAAATTCCAGAAGATCTAAAACAAATATGCAAAATATTTTGTTATTTGTCAAATAACAAAAATATAAATCACTGATATATTTCTTACCACAATACAAATTCTCTGAATATTCTTAGCTTTGCTATTTTATCTCCATTTGGCAATAAACTAAATTTAGGAAAATTATCCCTATATTTTCTTCCAACTGGATCATGTGAGTGTGGCAACTCGGTTGCCTAAGACAACCTGAGGTTTAACCCATGTATCACATCATGTGTACTTACTTTATTGGTCAGAAGGTATGATGTGTTCAAACCTTACCCGTTTTGTTCATCCAATTCATCTTTTCTGTTCATCATAGCTACTATAGCTTGTCTTAGTTCATCTGAGAAAATAAACATTGGCTTAAAAGGCATGTTGCTATAAATGAGACAAAATCACAAGAGAGGTTTGGGTGAAGACAGCCCTTCGGGTAATTTGATTTCATCCTTCCAGAAAACCCAACCATCAGCTTCCTATCATAGCACCAAACTTTTCTTAAATTATTAATACAAACAGTAATCCTTGCATTTGATATAACACCTTATTTTTATCAACAACATAAAATTACATTTGTAAAGCGCCTTTCACATCGGGAGGACGTCTCAAGGCGCTGAACAATCAGGGATCAGGACCCGAGCGGGGGTGCAGGGTTGGGATGAGGGAGTGCAGAGAAGTAAGAGGGCGGCTGAAGGCACGGTCGAAAAGAGGGTCTTCAGTTGTGCCTTGAAGGAAGCAAGAGAGGGAGCAAGGCGAAGGGATTGTGGGATGGAGTTCAAAAGATTGGGAGCAGAGAGGCTGAAAGCCCGGCCACAGATGGTAGGGCGGGTCGGGCAGAAGACATGGAGCAGGCAGACAGAGCTGCTGAACGGAGAAAGCGGAAAGTTGATAGGGGGTCAGCAGGTCAGAGATGTATGAGGTGGCAAAGCCATGGACAGCCTAGAAAGTGAGGATGAGGATTTTGAATTCTATCCTCTGAGGGATTGGGAGCTAGTGGAACTGGCGAGGGTGGGGGTGATGGGGACACAGAGCCTGGTGTGGGAGAGGACACGAGTTGCAGAGTTCTGGATAATCTGCAGCTTGTGCAGGGAAGAGTTGGGGAGGCCGACAAGCTGAGAGTTTCTGCAGTGGACCTTGAGGCGACAAATGATTATAAGAGAGTTTCGGCAGCCTGAGGGGTGAGGGAGTGGCGGAGTCTGGCAATGTCGCAGAGGTGGGGGAAGGTAAGATATGGGGGAGAAAGGACAGTTAAGGGTCGAACAAAACACCCAGGTTCCTGACTGGCTTCTTTGAGGCGGAGCGTGCATTCTTGGATGCTGTGGTGTGGAGGCGCTGCGCGAGCCAATCAAGAGGGTCTCTGTCTTGCTGACATTCAGCTGTAGAAAGTTGGCTCTCATCCAGGACTTGATGTCTATCCTGGAAACGAGGGTGGAGGCAGAGAGATAAGAGTTGGGTGTCATCCGTGTACATGTAGAAGTTGACCCCATGTCTGTGGATGATGTCACCAAGGGGGAACATGTAGAGATTGAAGAGGAGGAGACCAAGGACAGAGCCCTGAGGAACACCGCACAAGACTGCAGGGGCTGGAAGAGAACCGTTGGGGGAGACAAATTGGAGATGGTGTGAGAGATAAGGCCTGAACCATTCAAGGACAGAACCCTGAAGGTTGAGGTGAGAGGAGAGATGGTGGAGGAGAATGGAGTGGTCCACAGTATCGAAGGCAGCAGAGAGGTCGAGCAGGACGAAGAGGCAGAGGGAGCCCTGGTCACAGATGGACAGGGTGTCGTTTGTCACCTTGACCAGAGCAGTTTCCGATTGGAGGGGCTCATGGAAAGTGGTAGGAGAGGAAGGAGCGAAGCTGGGAAGCAAAGACTCTTTCAAGGAAAACACAAAATACTACAGATGCTGGAAATCTGTAAACAAAAACAGAAGTCGCTGGGAACACTCAGCAGGTCAGGCAGCATCTATGGAGAAAGGAAAGTGAGTCATCGTTTCGGGTCAGAACCGGGGCATGTTGTGTGGGGGAGGCAGGGCAAAGAAGATAAAGGAGAAAATGGGGTAAGAGGGCAGGGGATGATGAGTTGAAGAGGTGTTAATGATGCAAAACAAAGGGGGAGGTGATTGCTCTTGTGAGTAATTTCAGTGGATACTGTGAACCCTGCTGACATCAGGAGATATTCTGCACCTGCACACCACTGACAGGAAGCTGGCCAGTCAGTGCAGAAGAAACAGGAAGTTTACTGCACTTCTGTAGACTGTGGGTCCAAAGGATTGAAGCCAGTATAACCGGAATTGCAAAGTGGATGCAAATAATAATACTTGAATTTGAAGTTGCACCTCATTATGTCAGAGAAGCATCTTAAAGCACTTCACATCAGCATTTATTTGTAGGTGAACTCATAAACATCTTTCTTGAACTACGATGGGCTGCCTGAGTAGGTGGATAGGAGAGCTTACCCACGTCAACATCCCATTGCTCTTTTCTCATAACAGACAGATTTAGAAATTAGCAATGCCTTCCAAGCGGGCCATACAGCCATTGCTCCAAAAGGTGAGAGCTTTAATTAATAGTAATTACATTGTGAAAGGACTCAACTTGGATATATGATTTTGGAGTTAAACCCTGGTATTACTGCTTCTTGAACTTAATTAAGCATTTCAACTGCATAATAAAATATATATCACAACTGTGTCCACTATATTGCGATGCCAGGTGTCAAAAACCATGTGGGAGGTCGACCCCAGACCTTCTGCCTCCTTGAGGACTGTACAAGGCCAAAGTTTTAACATTTCTAGAGAAGGGATAAGCTTCAAACCAATTATTTTCTGTTCAAAAGCAGCTCTCTTGAGGTCAAGTCACATGATTTCCCTTTAGACACTGCAAACTTAAAATCCATCTTTTAAATAAATTGTTCAATATATTTCAACAAAATGTTGCAACAGTTTTAAATATTTGTGGCCTACAGAATATTTCATTTGTTTATTATCTAACAATGTGCATCAGCCAGTAGGAAAGTCATTGCTGCAAAGAAACTCATCAACTGGTGACTATTCATACTCAACGCATCATTGATGAATGTTCACTGTTTCCAAAGAAAGCAAAGAACAGAAAGTCAAATGTTTCAATCGTTCTCATCCTAATAATCCAGAGATTTTTTTTCACATCAAGTAAATATCATTAGATTTAAACAGGTAATTCATTATTACCTGTCACCAATGTTTCTTCGTATTTTATGCTTCTGAATTCTACCTCGGGAATGCCCAGGACAAATATTTTCTCTACTACCAAAACTTCCTTACAGCATAATCACATTAAACCATGGAATATAGCAAAATCGTTCTCTGTCCCAATTAAAGTCCATTGATGTATTTTAATTAACAACTTGGTCTTATATAGCACCTCTCATATAGTATAACATCCAAAGCACTTCACACTAATGGTGGTGGCTGGTGGATGGGCAGGAAAGCATCCTGTAATGTGAATTTAGAGACCACTGCAATCCCACATTTGGAACATTGTGTACCATATCTATATACTTTAACCCTAAAAGAGCATAGATACTTTCAGCAGGGTTCAGGAAAGAGTAATGGGGTGAATGTAGGACTTTACACAATATATAATGAGGGTCAGAACTGAACTGGTTTTGGTTACAGAAAAGATGAAGAGAAAGGATACAAATGGCCATGCAATCCAAGCTTAAACTACAAAGCTGAAGGACAGAGTTACAACAATAATAAAGACTTGAGACGAGTTGGAGTACTCGCACCTCTGAGTCAGAAGGTTGTGGGTTCAAGCCCCACATCGGGACTTGGAATCACATTGTCTAAGTTGACACTCCAATGAGGTGCTGGGAGGGAGTGCTGCGATGTTGGAGATGCCGTACTTCAGACGAGAAGTTACACCCTGGTCCTATCTGTTTGTTCAAGTGGACTTTTAACAAATAGCTAAAGTTACAGGAAAAATGATCAGGTTGTTACAAAATTGTCAAACCTAGCTGACAGATGTTATTCTAAGGAAGTTTTGCTTTCCTAAAATAGAGCTGAAACTACCCACATTTCCAGTTTTTGTAAGCTTGCTTGCTGATTGCCCCACTATTAACATACTTTCACGTTATCTTCCAATTTCCCCACACTTGTAGAAATATTTACTGTACACTATATCTTAGGATTTTATCAGTAAATATGACCCTTTATCAACCCGCTCGCTCTCTCCGCTCAGTTGGCTCCGGCCTGTTCCATGTCCTCTGACCCACCTACCCCACCATTGACGGGAGAGCCTTCAGCCACTCTGCCCCCAGTCTCTAGAATTCCATCCCCCAATCACTCCACCTCACCCCCTCCTTAGCCTCCTTCAAGTCCTGCCTCAAGACCCTCCTCTTCGAGCATGCCATCGGCCACCTCCCTTCTCCCTCCCCCCCACCAACTCCTGCTTGGGTGTGACATGTTGTACACTGTCCAGCGCCTTGGGACGTCCTCCCAATGTGAAAGGCGCTATACAAATGTAATCTTCTTGTTGTTGTTGTTGTGCAGGCAAATGCAGCAAATGCATTCTGCTATGAATAGAAGAAGAAATAGTTTACCACTGTGACTCTTAACAGCATCTTTACTTGTAAAAAAAAATCTACTTTATTCACCATGATTTTCATGACAGTCTTTCATCTCATTCGTCATTCTCACTGTGTGGTTAGCTATGGGTTGCTATGCAACAAGCTACCCAATTTGCCATCATCTTTAATCAGTTTCCCTCCAGTACTTCCTATCTGAAGACAACTCAAATGAGCAACGATCTGTCTGACAAATGCATTTGCTTCACTGTAGATGAGGTCTTAATAATAAAATTTATACCTGTCTACATAAACTCACAGAACTTTCTCAAAATTAAACTGAAACGGTCTTTTTAACAAATTTTAAAAAATGTATTACACATCCAATAATTTGTTAATAGTAACTCGCATTCATACAGAATTGTTCATGCAAAAAACAATGCTGATGCACTTTACAAAATATATATTTTTTTAGAAATGAAGAAAAGATTGTCATTTAGGAAAAAAATTGCAGCTAATCTGTGCTAATTGCTTCTCATAAACAATGAGATGAGCAGTCAATTAATCTGAATTAGGGGTCAATTTAGTTTAAAAGTAGTGTGTAAACCAGTTTAAAAAGGGAGAAAGACTCCACATCTCTGAAATGGCAATAGAAGGGCAATCCCTCTAAGTCCAAATCACAAAGCTGACAGAACAATAAAAGAACAGGATGATCATCTGGAAATATGTAATAATGTTGCATTGTAAAATAGAACATTATGTCGGCAAACACGGCAGCTAATCTGTGCCGGCAACATCCTAC